ATAATATTTTTTAATATAAATTTCATTTGTATTTATAAAAAGATGTTGGAATTTACGTAGCACCGTAGATACGACACAGTATTGAGAACATGAGAAAGCGAGAGTGCCATATCGATCTGGTTAGTTTGAAGTCTACCTACCTCAACCCTAGTTATACTTTTACTGATCGCTTTCATCGGCATAGGTTTTCTCTTGTATTTTTACTTGTCAATTTATTCTCGAGGACACGTATTTTTCGTACACGATCTTCCTTTTTCTACGAAAAAGAATGCCTTTTATACTCTTGACGATTTCGTATTGGGAAGTTAGAAAGCGAGATGACTGTTAGTTCTCACACGAAGTGTGTGGGAAATCCTGAAAGTGCACGCAACATCGTTTATATTACGAATAATTTGTTAAAACATGGTTATCAATAAACGGTCGTAAAATAGTTGTTTTATAATGTTATATGCATGAATTCTACACAAATACGAACGATATGTTTTCTTTGATGTACGTGTACTTAATTTTCTTTACTTGTACTTGTCAAAAAGACTAAAAAAATATAATTTGTAAGATCTCTTAAGAAAAGGATATTTTTGAAATACTTCGATAAAATGATCATGAAACTTTTTTCTTCTGTAGCTCTGTTGCTATTGTACATTGTCTGTGAACGAATATTTCCTTTTCTCAAAATGTTCATCAGATTTGATATGACGACGCTATGCGCGAAGTACAATTTTCATTTCAATCATCGTTAAATACAGAGGAAAGAAACGCAAAAAGTTCATCACCCTTGCGAAATAAAAATTACCAAGGTAACTTTCAATCTCAACGTTCAACCTATCATTTCCTTGTTTACATTCTAATTCTTTTCTGCGTTTGGTTTTTCCATCATTTCCATGGTCATCTGTGTTTCTTTTTTTCGCCAATGAAAAACACATTCGGTGTGTAACAAGAATGGGAGAATCTCTAAGCATACGTATATACGTGCGTGAAACGTTTGGTTAAAAAGTAGATCTCACGATGGATGGGTAGATTGTCGGGGAGGCGGGTAACGGCATCGGCAGATGAAAACTCTGCGAGAGTCTACGCTGGTGGGCTGTCTTGGGCGGGCGACGGCTGTGCGCAAAAACGGCGGCAGTCAAGTTCAAGGCCACCGGCTACTTTCCTTTCGCCCCTCGCCGCCGCGATGGAGCAGCCGCCGCCTCCAGTACCGCCACTGCTGCCGCGCGACACCATCGCTACCACCGCCGTCATACCCACAGCCACCGCCCCCGCCTCCCACCTATTCTCACCCTTCCATCGGGTGATATACACGTAGCACGCATAACGCCAGTAACGTATCAACTTAGGACTATTTCGGCTATGGGGGTAAAGGGGGAGCGGCTTTCAGGCTGGATCGATCTACCTAGTCGTCTGAAAGTTCAACACTTCTTTCTTCCTTCTCGAGTATATTCTCGAGATGGTTCTTTATTCTCATGTTTTCGTAGAGAGATGTTTCGCGATCAAAGAATCGTTCGTTTGATTAAATCATCTCTTCCCTCTTAAAAATTCATCTCGTATGTGTATTTGGATACATCTTTACTGGGGGAAATTCGACTCACTGTCGGAAAGATCCGATTGAACGTAGCTTGAAGAGTTAATGACCGATTGGCCATGATCGTGATAATATTCACGGCAGTGTCTCGCTTTTGTATCTGTACAGTGTGGTAACAATTGTCTCAGATCGGAGCACGTAGCCACTGATTTTATCAGCCGATAAATACGGCCCGATCTAATTCCGTGTAGTCTCTAAATGCAAAAAACAATTTTGACTTTAATGACAAAAATTTCATTTGTACTGTACGAGCAGCAGATTTTTACTTTTATCCTTCATACGTAGCTACCTACTTGTAGTTATTCCGCAATGATCTATCGTTCTATCAATAAAACGTAACAATAAATTCTATCGCGAAAGATATCCGAAATATGCTCCGTTAATCGAACGAAGTATTTTGTCGAAATGTGTATTGTTCGAAAATTATTGTGAAATTATTAAGCGATCAGGTTATTAATTAGCAGGATTGATATACGTTCGGCGGTTTTTGCGGCGCCCGGTGTTAGGATCGGCTGGCTATTACCGTATCCTCCGAATTGCCGTCAGTCGTGTACGGCTCGCCGTGCCGTCAACGTCGTGGTAGGGGGTTGGCATGTACGTACGTCGCGCGTGTGCTTGCCCGCGTTCTTCATGAGTGCTGCGGACCTTGAGCATTGAAGATTGCTATCGTTTCACGTAGACGTGAAAGAGAAAGCGTAAAACAACAAAGCGAACGTCCCCGGTGGTGCCATTTCGATAGAGTCGTCCGCCATGGATGCATGGATGTACGATGTGGTAGGTGATGCCGAGATACATAACCTTTTTCTTCCTTTCGTTCGATCTCGTGGCTTTGTTTACGTTGCTGCGCGCGCGTTTCCCCGCTGCTTTCCGTTAATCCCGATCGATCGATTACGGAGCAGAATAATTCGATCGTTTCGAAATAAGATGTTTCAAACTTCAGTGTCTCCTTTTATTCCAGTCTCGAAGAATTGAAAATCACGGCGCTGCCTCAAGGTTTAATTCATGCTCGTACGAGTTAACTACGAGAGCATGCTTGTTTTCCACTCGAAATAATTAAATGATTTTTTTTTCTTCTTTTTTTTTCTCTTGTCTCTTTTTCACGCAGATCGGTCTGATTACATTCGCGGCGATGTTCGAACTCGCTTGTTTTCCCGATGCAACGAGAATACGTGCATGTATATTATCTTCGTCGCATACCGTCAGTCAGCTTTAGACAGACAGCTCGGTTATTACGTTACGACGTGTCTGTTAGGTAATCTATCCTGTAACTCGCAGATCGTTTTTCCACGCCTGCCGGTTTTTAACGTCACCCGTTGAACCTCGTGATTACTTCGATTTTGCAATCTCCCCCGTTTTCGTTAATTAACAATTGGAACGGCGATTGCCGTTCAAATTGAAAACAGTTTGATACGCGCGGTACGCGTAAAATATTTGAACAAACCTGTAACAGAAGCTTAAGGTACCGCGCAAGTGTTAGCTGGAAATATTTTACACGATTCGCATACACATGTGTCTGTGAGTGTTGTCATGAAAAAGTTGTTTATTTTGATGGCAATGAAACACCTAAATTGTTCGACCTTAGCCGAGAAGCTTTTACCAAATACTTTTTCACATCCGTGGTTTTTGATCTACAATTCATCTAATTTCTAATTGTTTCATTTTTCTGTCGTTTTTCGTTTGAAATTTCAATGTTCGTGTCTGTTACGCGGGCGTAATGATCGATCGAGCGTGTAAAATAATGACGTTGATTTTTCAAGGAGACAAGATATAGATAATTCAATCAACCTTGAAATATTAAAAGGGACACGTAACAATTAATCTCGCCTCCTATTTGAAATCGGTTTCAATCGTTTCGCGATAATTCACTTTTTCGCGACCCGATATGTACGGGCGATTTCCAACGATAACGGGTATAACGAAAATAAGTTTACATGTCCACCTTTAGATTTAGGTTAGGTTTAGGTTAGGTTCAGGCATTGCGAATCATCTACGTATCTTTCGAACTTTCCATCGTCGATTTCATTTGAAATTCATTTAAAGATCGACGTATTCGCTCAAAGATCACTCCTATACTTTATTGATAACAAAGATAACTATATACATATATCGTGCTTACGCACTCGTTCGCTTACGCATTCGTTTCTCGAATTATTATTACGCGTAAACAAATTCTTCTCCGACAACATTTGTCACGTTGGTGGGATTGGTTTTCTTGTTTTCTCTTCCTACAGACAAACTGTGACAATTTTATAATAGCGTATTTCGTGGCTTATATGGTGTTCAATTGATCGAACGAATTATAAAACGATCTCGTATGTATCTGTACCCACGCGATCCAAGTCTTACGCAATTCCACGTGCGTTAGCCAAATGCGTGTAGGGTACCACTGGAATCGTTGGTTTCACTTTTTTTTTTTTAATTTTATTATACTCAGCGTTTCGATCGAATGCGTTGATCGTGTATCAATATGTTCTTGAACCTCATTGATATACCGATTTTGATAAAACACTCTCTTTTCAAGGGAATAAATATTGGCCAGTTTTATCTCTTGCGATGTTTACGAAAGATAATCACTCGCGAAATTTCGGGTTTGATTGCACGTGACGCATACGGTAAATCGATGGATCGAGTTAGGTTGACACTGAAGAAACGGAAATATCGAAAGTTGTGGATTT